AAGTGGCAGCAAAATGGTTCAACAACATCTGATCGACATGATTAGCACGGTAAGCGAGCTTGATCAACCATATCCAGCGGAAATCAATCACCCTCATTCACCGGAAATCATCCTCATTCCGAACCCATCCTTCGCATGACACACAAAAAAATAACAATAAGCGGGAAACTATGGTGCGGTCCCCGCGCGCTGGGCGTTGACGTGGCGGGGCGCCGTAAAGTTCTCCCATTTCTTCGACACCACCATACTTCCTGGGCGCGGACCCGCAGCGTCCGCCGCTGCGGACCGGGTGCGGTCCGACGGGCGCGGACCCGGTGAAGCAAGGAGGCCCGGAAGAAGTGTCGTGTGCGGGAGTGACATCCTGGTATCATTGCCCCAAATGGGCAGTGCCAAATTACTGTTTTGCAAAAGCCTACTCAATATCATCGCATATCTACTCATGTAATGTTGATATAGGATTAAGTAACCTCCCCCTATTTATCAAGCCCTGCCCTAGAGACATAGAAATAATCTATTAGTATATTGTTTTTTAGCTGCAATCTAAGCTGCCAATGCTCTCCCCAGCAATCTTTGTTGCACAAAATCTCAAGACCTCTCTAGCAAAATTATGTAAGTTTCCCTTATTAAAGCTCTATCAAATTAACGGTTTGAAGCTCACAAAGGGTACCTCATGGTACCTCTCACAGGCCTCAGTGTTCACACAGAATCCTATCAACCATCATCCATCATCAGGTCATCACCTTTATTAAGGGGATGTGGTCTCCAATACCTCCAATCTTAAACCTTGTTGACCTTGTTGACCTTGAAGGGGGGGGTTGATCAATCCTACGTCGACCTGAAAAAAGACCACACCACTTGCGCGACAGAAGGCGACGCAGCATACGCAGCTACGACCTCTGACTGATTTGGCTCGGCTTCTGCTGCTCTGCTGCTCAGGCACCGTTGATCACCACTTGCATGGTTTCTGCAGGCTCTTTGAACTCCTGCCAAGACCGACGATCGATCTTCGGTCAGTCTGAAGCGTGCCCTTCTCGCTCGGAAGCACCGAACAGTTCGGAAAACGACAACGGCGCTCGGTATTCTTTTGGAAAACGACAAAGGATGCCCTGGTGACCGGCAGTTTTACAGTAACATGTTTTAATATTGTAACATCTCCAAAGGCAGCCGCTCAAACAGTGGAATACTGCTTATATCTGACTATTTATCGTGGTTCTTTTGTAAGAAATCTGTGATCACACTGTGTGAGGCAATGTCCCGCCAAGATCCGCCAAGGACACACAAAACCTTGGAATGCCCATCAACCGAAATGAACCCCCAAGGAAGAAGCAAAGCAGCATGAGCAGCATGACCGCAAAAGTCCAGTCTTTTGAATCCCTGAATCACCAACTCAGGGAGGCGATTTTGCCTTGTAGATCTCACACTGACCAAGCACCGACATCCACCAATCGCGCACTCCACCCGCGCTCCCTCGGACTCACCAGGTGAAAACCCACTCTCCACCCACGACCGAGTCGGCTCAGTCGCACTCCGCATTCGCCTTGTCGATGCTGATGCGAATCCCGGTGGGGAACCATTTCCTCGGCCGAACGAGCCATTCCCGCGGCTCCGGAGCCACGCGGTCGCGAGCGGCGAGCGGGTTCGTGTGTTGCGGTCGGAGTGTTCACGCGTTCTCTTTGGCTTTGGAGAATTTATATAGTTTTGGTGTCATTAGGTCTTTCAGAGTTCCATCCAAATACTCCGGTGTGTTGAAGTCAGACTTCTTGGAGTCGTCATGCAACTGAGGATTGCACACCGACACAGGTCTATGAGGAGTGCCACCAGGGCCTTTGAAAGATGTGATTCATTGGGGTGTCAGAAACTGAAACAATATTTATAGTTCAAAAATGCGACTCGAGCATTCAGCATTCACAACAAGCTCCAGGCAGGTGAGAAAAGGTATATAAATCAAGTCTTTGATTACGTGCACATTGACATATGCTGGAAAATGTCTGGGAAATGTCATGCAAAACTACGGCTTTGTTAGATCATGGTCGGGGATTCGTCTTCACTTTCCAATTTGTAGCCAACAACATTTAGAACATGTTAAAACCATGTGTACCTGGCAAAGCTCACGAAACCATGCGCATGCAACAAACATCAAAGAATCCCTCGTCCAAGGATCAAAAGCATCTTCTGCAAGGCATACATCTGTGAGATCTTCTTCCAACCTCAGTTTTGTCGAAGAACTCATGGATGAGTGAGTTGTTAAGAAGTACTCTGCCCTTTGGATCCTCGGCCATAAGTTCTTCACTTTCCATCCTTCGGAAAAAAGTAATCGACCGAGGCCGAGATCTATCCTGCCACGATCTTGAAGTCAAGGCCATCAAGGCCACGCTCTAACAGTCTAGCAGCGGAACATACCAGAAGTCGAATTGGATATTTCAGGTGTGAAGTGGAAGAAAAAGAACATAAAACAAGATCCTCAACCTCCAGCACAATCGTAGATAGTACTATTTTGCTCCCATGTTCATTTCGCCTCCATTGCCATTGATCAAAGAAAGGGCGGACTTGAGAAAGTTCATATGGAGCTGTTCCTTTCAGCATCGTTCTATACTCATTTTCCAATCTTTTCCATACAAGATCATACAAGTCCAGCTGCCCAAACGCAGCGAATGTTCCAGCCAAAACAGTAGAAACACATGGAAAACCCACTTCCAATATCCTCCAATCCACCGGAACCCACTGGGAACCCACCCGAACCCGACCCTCCGCGCTCCGTCCACGCCGTTGTCGCGCTCCGTCTTCGCGCGGAGCGCTGTGCCACCCGAGGCGCCGCGGATCAGGACTTCGGCGGCCGGTTGGGGGCTATCGCTGCCGCTGGTGTGGTAGAAGGACACCGTGCGCTCCTGGTAACGGTGAAAAAAAACAAAAAAAAGGTGTCTCCAACTATGTTTATGTTTTGTTGTTGATGTTTTTTTGATGTTTTTGTTTACGGGGTATTGCGAGGTTCTAGAGATTCTGGGAGATCCAAAAACAACGGAACGAAGGACATGTGTTTGGAGAAGAAGCTTCACGGATAGATAGTTCCAAACCATTTTTTCCTTTGGAACACTAATGGTTCCACACGATTCCTAATCAATTCCTTCGTGTGGACCGTTTTTGTGCTTCATTTGTGACTTTTTTCTCCGGAAGAATCCGATGGTGGAAAAGGTGTTTGGACTTTTGGAGCTGCAGCGATGAGGGCCTATAGGGGATTTGGACATTCTGCGCAGTGGGCGGTGCATACATGGTTCGGGCAAGGAGGCCAGTAGCGGACTGAGCTTGGGAATAGTTTGGCAGCAGTTAGCAGAAAGCGTGTTTATTCCAAAAAATATGGTGGTATGAGGCGGTAGATACCTATAGGGGGAGAGAATTCGATCCATCATGGTCCATCATGTGTTTCACCAGAAAGATCAACTGCCTCCATAAGCCCCCGGTGCCGCTCGATACACGGGACGAGACCACGATGGACCTTCGGCGCTCCTCGTCCAGAAGTGGCTCCTTGACATCTTTGGTCGGCATGGCTTCGGACAGAGGGCTGGCAATGGCTTTAGTGCTCGCAAATGGGTAAAAGACCTTTAAAACGTATACAGTACTGTTTCAAGAAACGGAAATGCCAAATGAATCAAGAAGATTTGTCAGGCTAAGAAAGAGGAAAATAACTGGTGGATGTGCTGTTTGTGTTGGTGGAAATGAATTAATTTCATGCAACATACTGCGTTTTGGAGGCTAAGATTGTCTTCTTGGTACATGATTGGCTGAGAACCTCTGCACTTGTGCAATCTTCCGCGGCATCACACTTGAAGGTGTTCAAGCTGGGAGAGCCAATCTACCTGGCAGCAATAGTGCAAACATACTGAGAAATAGCTGACATGTCGAAATTTCTACATAGCCATAGCCATAGCAAGTAGAGCCAATCTACCTGGTAGACCGAGAAGGATTGTTGAAATGTCTACATGCTCTTTAATGGCTGACATGTTTTCCCCATGCCCAACTCATTCCTATCAGCAAGTACCAAACCCCAGGATGTCGCTGGTAAACTAGTAACATTATATAAATATATATATATATCGATACCCGATACCCTTATGATGCCGAGTCTGCTCATGTTTGGTGGTTGCATGACATGCTGACATCACGCAATTCATTTAGACCCCCCAAAGTATCAGCTACTTGACAAACAGTCCATATCGACCTAGCGAATGAACCCCCTAGTCTGCTAAGAGCAGCCAGAGGGGTTCAGTACCTTCTCTTGTTGGACCAATTCCTGCAATGTCAGGGGGTCCTTCCCCGGTCCGGTCCGTTTTGGTGTCGACCGGGTTGATCTCCCCACGTCGATGAATGGGTCGATGAATGGGTCGATGAATGTCACCTCCATATATGACCTCAGATCCCGACCAGTCAGGATGTGGGTTTCAGGATGTTTCAGGTTGCTTAGATTGAATGGCGTTGTCGTCCCAAACCGCCGATTCCAATGACCCGGTCACGGTGTTTCACCGTCCCTGGACGTCGGACTCACCTTGACCGTCTGTGCCGGTGTCAAACGGGACACTCGACCGTTGTTGCCACGTTGCCGCTTGTAGTTGGAAGTAGAGGGGGCGGTGCGAAGACCAGTACCAGTGACCAAAAGAACCAACGGGTTGGCTGTTGCTCGATGAGACCAACACCGCAAGAGCGGAATACCATGGAATACCTTATCGCTACTATACCTCACTCGTTCCTACCTCATACACCATGCAAGGATACCCGTTGGAGGGAGAGTCGAAAGGCAAAGATGGCATTGTTGCCTTTTACTACCAGGGGAACACGGAACACTCCCAAAAGATCAGGAGACACCATGTACAAACGGAAACGGCTCCAAAGCGGTGACCAAATAGCTTCCAACTGTAAAATCGTGCAGGTGGGATTTCAGTTTTTCTTGGAATCCAGTCAAACAATCGCTCCAATCCTTCGCTCCTTCGCTCCTTCACCCCTTCTCCCGCCTGGTAGTCGATCCCTGGCACGTGACGAAACGAACGCGGGACGAGTGCAGCGGTCACGTGATCCCTTCGAAGCGCCTCAGAGCGCCGAGGCGAGCTCGGACCGCCGAGGCGAGCTCGGCTCATCCACTGCTCGGACCACCTCCCCAAACACGACGACCATGGGACTGGTACCTTTACCGATCAGTTGGGATGGTTTCGGGGGGGTCAATGGGGCGGCATATATGACAGACATGGAATGTCTGGGCTCTGTAAACCATCGTTTGGACCTCGGGTCTAGCTGATCTGGTGGAACCGATCTACTGGAAATTATGTTTGCCCAGTTGACCAAGTACCGGAATGGTGCCTCATCCACGGTGGCTGTCAAGAAACCCTGCTGGCCCACAGGTCGGCTTCCCTCTCCCTGATTTCTCACCACAAACTATCCACAAGTTGTCTCTTTAAGGTGATGTTTCGGGGATGCCGAACTAGGATCTGTCGTGCTCTAGCATCATTCCATATCGCCACAAAATAGAAGGGTGGAGAGATCGAAGCTTGGAATACCCTACACTCCGACTCACTAAAAACTGGAAGTGGAAAGCCACATGTTTGTTGAGGAAAACGGACTTCGAAGGACAGGAGGGGTGCCTGTCTCCATTTCAAGCATCTAGTCTCACCATGTCTCACCTGGTAGGGGTTACAAGCCAACACGGCGAGGTCGTCCCAGTTCAGCTACTCACTTTATGCTGCCTGGACCGCCCTTTTCTCACTTCTGCACCTGCACCTGCACTCATTGATCCAGGACTTTCCATGACTTTCCCGTGATTTTCTGCCAGATGTCACGCTCACAAAGGAGCTTTGGCAGCTTAGCTGTGCCATAGCCTGCCTGTCAGCTCCTTCAGACTCTGTCCCCCAAACAGCTCGCGCACCGCCCGTGCGGCTGCTCCCGCATCGACTCCCAGCGTGTCGCGCCGTCAGACGTTGCGTGACCTGCCCAGGCGCCCGTCCGCGTGGCGAAAAACCGGCAGCGTCGGTCTGACCTTCAAAGTCGGGGCTTCAAGCCACTGTTCACCAGATGCGGAGCGAACACACCGTACTTGCTTCCACGAGAGATTCCTGCCATGGCCTGCCGTTGGCTTCTTTGGCGGCCTCAATGTCAGCTCCTGAAGTGGTCACCATCTCCCCGTTGAGGGCAGCGTTCATGGATCAGCCTACACGGGCCTTTTCCATCCATCCGTGCACCTGCAGTAGCACATCAGCATTCATTGGTCCAGGAAGTAAATGTCCATAACTTGCCGGTGATGTCCTGCAAGATGTCACCAGCTTGCTGCAAACATCCTGAAAAAGTCCCTCTACTTGAGCCAATCGACATGTTGAATCCAGGCGACTTTGGAAGGGCTCAAGAGCGCCAACTGTCCATTCCTGGCATTGGTTTTGAGCCCCCCGGTCGAAAATCGCATCGTCCGGAGCGGTTGCCCTGATCGGTGGCCATAGAAACCATGTCCACCACCAACCTAGAACCCAGACATGACCCCTGTTTGGAGGAAGACACCATATTTCGGGTGGTTGGTGGTCCAAAACAAAGGTAACTCAGAGTCCAGGAATATCAATAGTATAGCACTATAACTATAATAGGATCATTACATTGCATTGTAGCGAAAAGGCCGATCTATGATCAAGTCCCAAAAAAGATTTTGTCGCAAAAAAGATGAGGATGAATCAAAGGTCCTATGAATCGAATTGCGGCGAAATCCGGGAACCAAACCGGTTTAGACTTAGACGTGGTCACGGGCTTTTAGGCGGTCAGGTATGGTCAGGCCAAGCCCATTGGCTGAATGACATCGGCAAGTTCAGGTCCCAGTTGTTTTCCAACAGACTACTCAACAGGTCAATGTCACAAGATTACTCAAAGGAGCCAAAAGCAAGCTGGCCATGTAGCTGGTCACCCAAATCTCATGCAAAGCCCTGTTGACCAACTTGGCCCAAGCTCGAAAAGAAGAGTTCAAACATTTGGAAGCTCTATTGATCACCTGGTCCCTCGTCTGCGGTGAGTCTAACTTAGCCCCCCCCATTTACTATGGCTTCAATGGAGTCAGACTCGACTCTCTCATGGCAGTGTCTCAAGATTCAACAATACGCCTGGCGTAGCATGTCCGGAACAAAAGCCCACGAATGATGGACTTCCTTTTTTGGTGAAGTCTCGCAGTCTCCCTGCAAAAGAATCATTTGGTGTTCAATCACAGGGTCTACAGGTCTTTCGGGGGGAGCCTGTCCCACGGAAGTCTCAAGTATAAACATGACAAGTCCCGTGGCCAATAAGTGCTGCAACAAGACTCAAGGTGCAGTGTTGGGCTTTCTCCCTCCCCTCTCCCCCTCTTAAAGACCACAAGAACATCGACGGCTTTGCACTAATTGGCACGACAACGTTTCACTGAAGACTGCCGCTGTTGAGGACAAACCCAGCCTTTCAGAAACAAGCCGGGTGGGCAATCATTGCATTCACATTCCTTTGCTACAACGCGCTTGCAGTCCGCAAAAGTGGCCAGCCGGTCGCCGGCCAGAGAGAGCATGGGCACCACCACAGTCAGGGAGCTGCAGTTTGCAAAGGCACTATCCCCAATATGGATCACGGACTCAGGGATGGTCACATTGGCCAAAGAGCCACAGCAGGCAAAGGCGCGAAAGCCAATATGAACCACTGACTTGGAGATCTTTGCACTTGCCAAGGAGCTGCATCTTGTAAAGGCCAAATCCCCAATGTGTGTAACAGAGTCAGGAATGGTCAAACTTGTCAAAGAGCTGCATTTCTCAAATGCGCGATTCTCAATGCAGGTCACCGAGTCCGGGATAGTCACACTTGACAGAGAACTGCAGTTGAAGAATGTACAATCCCCAATGCGGGGCACTGAGGGAATGGTCACACTCAACAACGAGCTGCAGTCCTCGAAGGCTCCTGGACCAATGTGAGTCACCGACTGCGGGATGGTGACACTTATCAAAGAACTGCAGCCTGCAAAGGAACCAGCTCCAATGTGGGTCACGGAGTCGGGGATGGTCACACCTGCTAAACGGTTGCAGTTCTTGAAGGCATTCACCCCAATGGTGGTCACAGAGTTGGGAATTTCAACCACAATCAAAGACTCCAGGTCAATCTCATCTGCAAACTCTTCGATCTGGCTGCTCTTGGAACATCTCACCGAGTTTGGTTTGAAGATCACAGTCGCATCTGAACCTGCAATGCCTGCCGCTGCAAGTGTTTCGTGATTCTCCAATACCTTGCTGTCAAAAACAACATCCACCCGGTTCGTTCTGCGTCTGAGTTCATCACTAAGTTGCCGGTCTTTGATCAGCTGCTTGAGTTCTCGTCCAGTCATCTCAGGCATGACTTCAAGGACAAACTCTTCACCATTCAGCTGCCTGAACGAAAGGTCCATGGCCATTGCTTTGGCTTCACGTGTGTTTTCACGATTCTGGCTCAGATGTCGTGCCCGCTTGTGCAGCCCTGGCTATCTCCCTGACTTGTACAACAATGGCTTGGGATCTCCCCAGAACAAACACAGAATTTGCTGGATGTTCACACCTTGAACAATGCCCATGTGTGGCTCTTCCGTCCGACATGCAATGAAACCCTCGCTTCCTGAATCCTCTGGTAGGAGGCTTTGAACCCATGGCGACGGCGCGGCGACGGCTCTTTAGAAACGAAAAGGACATCATATCCTGCAAGCGGTTGGGTCACATGACAATTATCTGAACTGGCGGTGAATGAGAAACGATCTTCTTCATGATTCCTCGGTTTGTGAACAGTCATTTTGATTTCCATTTTCATCTTTGATGGATAGATATCCAGGCATAGTCATCCACCACATGACACACAAATTCAAAAGTTTCAAGCGCGGCACAATCGTTGGCACTGCCACCCAAAGAAATACAAAATACACAAGGAAAAAGTGCCACCCTCATCCAATTGAAAAACCTCTGGTGAGTCTCCTTTTCGTCTGGTGAGTGTTCTCACGTTTTTGTGCAGGTGTCAATCTTCAAACTATTCAATGCAAGACTCTTCTATTTACCAAACGGCGACAGCATAACAAAAAACAACTGTACGTGTTTGCCTTGTCGTCTTCACTTCACCGACCTGATGCTCCACCCCCGGTCTGCCGGTCCTCGTCGGGTGAAGGTCTCAGCGAGCAAGGTCAAGTTCACGTTGAAGACTGCGCTGAAGGCCTCGCGACCGGGTGGGTCGTTGTTTTCCGCGTGGTTTCTGGGGTCGAAATGGGAACCACAACAGGCCGGAACGCGGTGTGTTTTCACGGTCGTCTCCGGTCGTCTCCGCTGGTCGACCGGTCGAGTCGGGTTTGTCCGTGGCTGAGTCGGGTTGGTTGGCACAGAGGCGACCCTCAAGAGGACCTGATGTGAATGTGCATGGACAGAAGAAAGGATTAAACAAGATTCTTTTGAAAGCGGTTATTCTGTTCCTCTTTGGACCAACCCACATGGACCAAAACCGCCCAGCACGGTCGAGTCGCTTGGGTCGGTCGGAGTTCGGTCGGACCGACCGTTTCAAGCAGGGAAAGGACGACCGTTTCAAGAATGGTGCAAATGCTTGAGTGATGAGCCAGTTGTTTTGTGTTTGGCATCATTAACTTCATGTTAGCCTGAATTGGAGCGCTTAGGTGTGAGCAGTTTCGCAAGCATCTTGACCGAGATGGCTGAGTCTTCTCAGCCGCTTTTCTCCGGCACCATGCGTGTGGGCTCGGCCCGGCTCGGCTCTGGGGTCCCCGGCATTCACCACCGAGATGGTATTCCCCGCATGCGCCTCGCTCCGTGGGTCGAAGGTCGAACCGAAGCGGTGAAGCAGTGAGGGCCCCGGAGGATGGACGTTGGTCAAACAGACCGGGTGGAACGCCGAAAGAACGTGAAGATGAGCAGCGGAACAACAAAACCACTGCAGTGGTAGATGAGAAGAATCCTAGTACGTTATTTTCATGGTCCAATGGGATGATCTGCAGCGGTATGAGCAAACCTGTGTGGCTCCACGCCTCCTAGGAAACACCGAGCTGCACCCAATTCCGCCTGGTCTGCCCGTATAGCCGATGCATGGGAAGACGGTTGTCTTCGAAGCCCTGCAAAATAACCGAACAATGACATGCTGCCCGTCTCCATACAATGAGGTCTGACTTGGCTGGGAAGGCCATGTACTAGAAACTTGCCACGTGCTATGCTTGCATGGCAATGGCTCCTGCCATACCATTCCAGCACGATGGCAAGACGCTGTTTTGCAGGCATCCAAGCCAAGCTGGCCACAATCTGCTCATACGGGACGTAGAGGTGCAAATAAGACCCATGGTCCATGAAGTCCTCTTGCTCAGAAAATACGAGGATCGGAATTGCCATCTGCACATCCGTCGATCAGCAGGCCGAGCTGCAGGATTGGAGTCGACAACAACAACAACAACAACAATAACAACAACAACAACTGGTCAACGGCAGCAACAAAGAATGCCTCCCCGTTTGAATGGGTTCAGGTTGTATTTCTTGAAACCACTGAATCCGCTGTGCTCATAGAAAAGGGTACTCCCATTGTTCCCATGATCTTTAGAGAACTCTTCCAGCACCAGTCTTGCTTCAGGAATCTTCTTGGGCCGGTTACAAGTTGGATAAAAGACTCTTGAAATGAACCACCAAACCACTCTTGAACTGCCCCCCTCTCTCGCACTCTGTCTCCACCCACCAGGCGCCCCGGCGGTGCAATCCCCCAGTTGCGCGCACAAATTGGCGCGATGTCGGGTCATCGAATGGTACCTCAGCAGTGTGAACCAATTGAAAATCAAAGCCTGCCTCGGTCATTTGTCCGCATGACTGTTCCGGAAGTATATGGTGATGTTCCTTCGATCTCCAACGATGAAAGAGGATGATACCAAAAAACAAAGAATTGTTTTGTTTGTTGCTTGTACCATCTGATGGCTGAAGAATGGTACCATTCTTTTGCTGGCTCACCCTGTTGGGCCTGAGTCTTGATGCTGCTTTTCTGGCTCAGGACTTCCCACGACGGTCCCACCACCAAACAAGGAGCTGGACCCGGGTTCATCCAGTCTCACAGTGGTCTCACCCGGTCAGATCTGAAGCTGAAGCGATGGGAGTGGAAAGAGCTTGGCAACGTGATTTCTCAACAAAAAGAAGAACCCAAACACCCCCATCGCAAACAGGAACGCACTATAAGGACTATAAGGAGTAATTAATTCTATATAACATAAGATATAATAAGTCAGCTTTAACACCAACGATGAGCAGCAAATCATATCCGCGACGCTACTCACCATTCCACACCTCCGCACGATCACCCCGCCACCATCCACCACCCAAAAAACTGGCCACCTTCCATCTCACCCTCCTCCGTGACTCGGCCGGCCGCTCGTCCCGCTCTTCCCGCGGAGCACGTGGTGAGGTGGACGATCTTCTGCGCGTTCGTGGCAATGGCGCCAAACGAGGCGATACCACCTCGCGACCGGCAGCGGCGTCCGGTCCAGCGAGCTTCGGGGCGGCCTCCGGCCAGGTCCAACACCCCCGACCCACGCGCGCGTCACGCGATATGCGGAGACATGCCATCCCTGCGGGCTAACTGGCGGCAGGTCCGGCCATCAAAGTGATGGCCAAGGACGGGCGCGAGGAAGCGGATGATGTTGCTGAATTTGAACTTTCACCCTCGGGCACGGATTGGACGACCAAGGAGTCCCGAGGTGAACAAAAAGCACTCAAAAACCCATGGCCATGGCACCTTAGGGACTGTCTTCCCTCATCTTCCGGGGCGATTCCGTCTTCCCGTGGTCGCTCCCCGAGCTCGGGTGCCTTGGAAACCGGTGCCGCTCACCGAGCTCGCCGCCAAGATCGCCAGACCACTGGGGCCTGGCGATGAGGCGAAAGCACCGATCGAAGAGCGCATCGGTGCTGAGCATCGGTGGCATAGACGGTCTATTTTATCATCTGATTTAATGGTTCTCCCTATTCGCGAAATACCCAATAGATACCAAAGGTCCAGTGAAACATGAGATGTTCCAGTTGTTTCATGGCCACCCTGGATCGAAACAAACAAGGATCAAACTGCTCGACTGCAACAAGGAGAGAGCCCATTCCATGAATTAATCATCAAAACTTGTAGGTGTGCAGCCAGCGAAGCACCTCCCCAAATCATAGGAATTCCTCAAAAACCCTGCGCGAGTCGCAAACTGCTCATTCCAGCTCTTGATTGAGAAATTGGGGTGAATCCTATTCAATACAAAAGTCCATGCGAGTAAATATGCTGTGCAATTCGCCTTCTTCACCAGTTGGCCTCCCAGTCAAACATCCTCCAAACCGACGGACCACCGCTGTTGGCCCTTCGTGCCGAACCAAAGGTTCCGCTGCGGGTCTTCAGACCTAAATGGAAAAACCCGTCACAGGCGGTTTGTGTGATGGGACAACACCCACGGGAGGGGTCCTTTACGTTTTCACTAGCTTCAGCTAGGTGGCTAGGTGGCTTGCAGCCACATTCCAGCGAGGAGCGGCCGCTCTCCACCCATGGAAAAAAAATAAACGTAGAACATCCTAGAACAAGTTAGATGTTAGTACGAGTAGTCCATTGTTAGATGAAGTATCGCGATCAACCTGTGTGTATATTTCCATAAGCTTGCAATCTTTTGGTGGGTCATTTGGTCTTTGGTGCCGTTCTTCCAGCATGTCGCACGCCTTGGAAGCCCCAGGTGAGCATCGTCATCACAATCACCACCTCAGGTGCGAGATCTGCATCTGCAGAAGGCAGCAATCCACAGAAACGAAGTGGGTTCGGTTTGTCTATGGTCTACATAGACAGGGTTGCAGGTTGTCCATGTTTGGAGGAAGGATTCTTGCCGTATGCAGAATGTCTTTCATTGGATTGCGGATTGTTCCGGTGTTTGGCTTGTGAGGCTAACCCACCATGGGTCCAGCGTCCAAGATGGACCGCAAGAAGCGATTTCGAAATGACCTCACAAGACGGTCGCCAGTCGGCAGATCTTATGTCAAGACGCAGGTCTTGTTTTTGTAGAACGCCCAGGTTGGTGGTTTGTGGACAGTTTCATTCAACAGCACCTGTCTTCTTCTCCGGTCGTTTCTGGGAACCTCTTCTCCTAACCGGAACCCTTCGGAAGGTCGTCTGAGAGGCCTCTCTAGGCCTCCCCGCCGCCGCCGGCAGAATCGTGGACATGAAGCCTTGCCCCAGACCCTGCAGAACCACCTGGAGGGCGGTTCTAAAACGAACGAACTGAGGAAAAACAGAAATCAACGGTTTTGCCAAAAAAAACTGGTGTGAGGGATTGGAAGGTGATGCTGGAACTTGAAGAGGAACTCATTTGCTTGAGTCCGCCTTGAGTTGAACCGGGACTCGACCAAAGAGAGGTTTTGAGACATGGAAGTGCTTTCCGGCAAGAAACCAGTCAGTCAGTCACTGTAGAACTTTCCGTAACTTTCATGTCCCCTTGCACCTCCATGACCATCTCTGCGTTCTCAAAATGATCACAGAAGTCCGGCCAAAACTAGCAGCTTTAAGACACCATGTCTGACTGCGGTGCTGCCATATCCTTGCTCACTTGGTGGACATGGATGGATTTGCATTATACCGACTAGGTAAACACCCAAAAGACACTGAAGGATCTTGTTTTTGGATGAGCGGCAGGGACAAACAGGGGCGAAACCCTCGGAATCATCAGTTGACCAATCGCTCGATCAGTAAGACACCCATCTGGATTGGCCCAGCATGGACGAAATTGTGAAACTTGGGCCTCCATGGCTTCACAAATAATTTTGGACTACCGAACCAAGTCAACCTTTCTTCTGCTCTCAGAAGGCTAGGGAAACAAAGAAACAAGCTTCATCTACTGGGCCATTCTTCGGGGCGAAAGTTCATTATCATAATGGTTCACGAGTGCTTCTACCGGGCCAGATGACCCATATGATTGGAACAGATTGCGCTGTAAACTGGAGATCACAATATGACAACTGGATCTGTTCCAAATATCATCAAATATCACATCAAATGTAGAACCAACGAAGGTGCGAACCGAGCCGCAGGCTTTGAAAGGGCTCTGTGTCGAACACCCCTCTCGGCTGGCCCCGTGCCCCGAGATTCGACGTACCCAGAGGCACCTGCACCACGCCCAGGTGAGCGTTTTGCGCCAAAGTCCTGGCGCGGATCACCGGTGACGCAGGCGCGCGGCGCGTGGATGAAACATACCACGAAAGTAGGTACCAAAGGTTCCCAAAGCCAAAACTAGAAACGTCGATAAGCATATGTTTTTTTTCTTGACATCATATTCAATCCTTTCACAAGGTCCGTATTCATATATACAAGTTATATGAGTTTGAAATGTACTCTTTTTGTTCCTTCTTTATATCAAACATCCCTTGAGGGCATCAGCCTGGTGAAATCAGCTGTTGCTGCAGCTGTTCAAGCTGCAGCCACCGCCCTTGGACCACCTCCTGGACCACCTCTTGCCCTTGAGCCACCTCACGCGAGTATTTCACGTGCTTGTTGAACTGTGCTTTTGGGCAGTGGTTGCCGCTGCCATGGTTCCGAAATCGGTCTCGAGGTTGTCTGGTTTAGCACTGTTCGATCTTTTTGTGATTGAGGTGTTCCTCGTCGCCACGCAGCAAGCGCGAGGCCATGCAGACACTCCACGTATGACCCATTTACCTACATTGGGGTTGTTTCAGGGGTCAGTGTAAGCATGTCATATATTCCATGAAGTGTCCGGGTAAGAGAGATGAACCCAGGGCTAGCACTAGCAGAGTAATTACACCCTGTGTTGGCTTCGCTGGCCGCACCAATTGTAAGAAGTGCCCAGTTGGTGGTGGCTGCCAAAACATCAACAGCCTCGATTGATGAGAGCTCGGGAAGATGACCCGGGGCAAAGCATGGCAAAGTCAGATTCTCTTGAGTAAAAGTGGTCAACCCCTTGGTTTAATAATCAAAAGGCCATATTCTCTGAATTCGTGTTTGCTCCCAACACGTGTTGCCAGGCAATCTTCAGGGCAAGAAATCACTTTGCATGTTATTGTATACTATATGATATTCTTATATATATATATTATCTGAATCAATCCCACCAAGGCGCCAAAAACGAATGTCCGAGTGATTCCGAGTGTCCTCACTGGCCAATATTCGATGCCAGTGAAAATCTCTCCAGAGACCACGCAAATTTCCGGCGCCACCTGCCCTGCGCGGCTTTTTTCGCGAAGACCCCTCAAAAAAGGGATGCCACTGGACAGGAACCTCCAGTTGAATCATAAATCCTGTGGTGACCGGCGGGATTTCTTCTTGGTCACATCTGCACCGGATAGGCTCATTTACTGTCTCTGGCCAGGAAGGAGCATAATGGTCACGGACATCCACATACGCTACGACCTTGTCACCTTGCCCCAGGTCTGCTATGGCCACATGCCACTGCCAAGACACCGCTATTTGAGGCGCATCCCATGGGGTGAGTGGCCACTCCGCACCAAGGAAAGAATGCAATTTCTTGGCTGACAGCAGCAGGAGGTCCTGGCCAATGAACTTGTGTCATCCATGAACCCGAAACACGTTGCTTCCAAATAAAACGATCTTCGAACCATGTTCGCTCAGGTTCCCTGCACCCTTTTCTTCTGCCTTGGGCAGCCGAAGAACAACGGTCTCCGCCGAAACTCGGTGAGACGTCGTGAGCCGTCCGCTCCACCAGATCCCATCGGTCTCATGATGCCGACCCGACCCGACCAGCACCGACCCGTCCCGACCACTGGACTGGTCCACCGTTGAGGGGATCGACCACGGACCAAGAAGCAGCGCCCCAGAAGCAGCAGTGCATCGGCGTCCGATCGCTCGCTCCGTTCGGGTTCGAGGGCCAGCCCCCGTTCTTCGTAGCCTAGCGATGCTTTGAACATCTTTAAAAACCAAGTCGGGTGTTCGTAGATGAGAACCGTCTGCACCCGACGGTGTTCATGGAATTCCATGGACTCAGTCTGGGCATCTTCTGCGAGCGTGGCTCAAGAATCATTCCAAGAAATGAGGACATCTGTACCGAGAGGAAGCAACTCCACCATGAAACGGTGTCCAACCAGAAATCATGGCAGATGCCAAACAGTGTACCCTGGAAGTGAAACCACCCCGCAAAAAGTGATCCTAATGGATCCATTATCCTCTAAGGCCCTAAAGGAGATCCCTAAGATCTATCGTGATCGTCTATTACGATTCCATATTATTCCCTATAATGTTCATATTCCCTAAACATCCCTAAACCATCCTAAACCATCATCCCCATGGTCCTCTTCTGCGTGGGTTGCAGGGATATGTGCCAAAGTGGGACATGGGTGAACATTAATTATACTTACCCAAGTGTAAGACAATGACACTGGTGACTCTTGTGACTTCAGAAAGAAAGCCAAACTTCCAAAAGGAGGTGTCCAGTTCTGTGAAAACCGGTCGAGTTAACTCGCAACATGAGCGCCGACGGAGCATAGCGTTCTTTCTGTACAGACTGTGGCCGTTTCTGAACCTGCGAGCGCCCAGCTCGCACCTTTTAAACAGCGAAACATGGCGGTGCGAGGGTCATGGTCCTGCGAACCCTATCAACTGAGGGGGCTGCAGAGGACCGACCAGCTCGCACCGGAAAGGAAGGAACTGTCTTTAAAAAAATGCCATCCACCTGTCTGACGCGCAGCGCAGCATTAAAATAAAATCATCTAGGAGGTGTTTTGCTGTATCGTATGCAGGTCGGATGCAAGTCATCTTTAAGGAATCTTGGTTCGATGGATGTCCACGCAGGCTAACGGGAGAAGATCTCGGCCGCATCTTCTGACTCGAACAGTTTCGACGTGGTGCAACCCACCAAACCTACCACATATATATATATATAGTCGTTCAACCCAATCGTTCCGGAGAAAGATTGAGCATCAAAAAGAAGTTTTACGAAATCAAACAGCCCAGGGTGCTGTTTGTGTCTTCGAGATGTTTTTTTCCCGACCGTCACTCCCTGACAACCCGACAAGTCTTTTAATTGTTTCGATTTCCACTGGATAAGAGGCTGACTCTATGGCTCTGTCTGAGTCAAAACCTCAGCAGGGTCAACCACCATATAGTTGTCAGTTGGATTACCCCGTGGAGCTGGCAGGTTGGGTAGTAATCCTTCTCTTTGAGCCGTGGCTAGGCCCACGAAGAAGCAAGAGTGGACCCAAAGACACACGGGTCAATGGAATAAATATCGCCTGATTGAGAAAACAAGCAGCAATCCAGGATGTTATCTGGGATAGAAGAAAGACAACAAAACAATAGAAAGAAGACGACGACGACGTTGTTTGGGTGGTGAACTTCGGGGTGCTTGGTTCACATTCCGCTGGTCGAACACACCGACCTCCCTCCTGCGCGGCCTCCGGCCCTGCGCTGCGCGGGACCGTTGTGCGGCGCATCCGGCGATGCGACTCAAAACGGATGTTGGGCCTCGCAGCACGACCGTGCGACCGTACGACCGTGCGACCCGAAGACGGTCGGGGGGCGGTGTGAGAAGCGCCACTGTACAAGGCTCTGCTCCAAGAAGCCCTTTTAAGATGACACTTGATGAACTATCGCCTCAGCAGGTGGTGCCCAAGCAAGTTTGTGTGGTGACTGTCCCTCACGCGCCATTATATAGTGTTGAGTGGTGGATGGGTCGCTGTCTTGTGATTCTTGCTCTTCAAAGGCCCAGCGCGTTCACTCTCCGGTGGCCCAGCGCAAACAGCTGGCGGACTAGCGGTGACTAGCGTCTAGCGTGTATCCGGGAAACTCAATCACTCTACTCCGTTCTTCCCAAAAAAACAAGTTCCTGGACCTTCCAACTACCATCAAAACCGGGTCAATAACCAAAAGTATACCAGAATTTTTTGGTCGTTGGAAGATCCAGGTTGGTCACATCCCTAACGCCTGGTCGACTCCCGTGCACAGCAGGGATCGGTTTCGTTCGGTCGACCGTTCCGACCGTTCGACGCCAGGTCCAGAGACCCGAACACTTTTCAAAGGGCCATGGATTCTTTTGGTTATTGACCCGGTTTTGATTGGGAATCGTAGCTTCGTTTGGGGTGTTCGTTTGGGGTTTCGTTTGGGGTGTTCGTTTGGGGTTTCGTTTGGGGTGTTCGTTTGGGGTTTCGTCTTTGAGACCAACGAACCTCGTGGACCTGAACCAGTGAAGACCACAAGCAAACGGGATGTCCGTCAGACGTCCTCAGCTCCCTCAACAAAACCATGCGGCTTTTTCCATCTCCTTATGGTCTCCTTCACTCTTGGGACGACCGGTTCCTTTTTTGGGGCCCCCAAAAAGAGAGAGAAACTCCTTCCTCCGCCCATTCCGGTCCGTCCGCCTCTCGCTGAAGCTCTGCTGGAATCACCGGAAGCTCTGCCGGCTCCGGCTCCACTTTGGATAAGTTCGACGGGCGCCGAGGCAGATGCTCTGCCAAGGCCTGCGCAACACCGACGTCGCTCGTGGAACGGACGGGCTTTGAGCCTTGGTACCAGCCAAGGCTAAGAGGAACACTGGTCGACCTCTTGGAATCCCTCTCACCATTCGGCGACCGAGATCGCGCGCGATTTTTTGCCGCGAGACGTGATGGTTTTTTCGATCCTGACCCCAGCAAAACGAGACGCTGTGGATGAAAAGCCATTTCCAGGTCGGTCACCCAAAGATCCAAACAGGTCTGAATCTGAACCAGAAGGACCAATCAGTCGGTCCAAGATTGGGCAAAGTACCGGGCAACCGAGTTTGTGGTTCACATGTTGCAAACAGACCTTACCTTCTTTGCGAGGGATTAAAGACTGACAGTACTAGGATCTACTAGGTAGTTTGCCCCTACAAACACTCTGTTGAAACTCCCAACAGTAGGGCAGTAGGAACCCTATCCGAACACCACTTAAGCGCTACACTTAAGAGTCAGTTACGAGCAAGGAATTCTGAATCTGGGTAGAACAAAGACTGCCCGCTAGAGCCACTTTTGATCACCTTTGCCTGATTCTCTTGGAAAGTCGGAGCTCTTTCTTTTGTATTTTCTCTTGCTATGATTGCTATGTCGGAAAGAAAAAGAAAAAAACATCCTTCCTGCAGAGAACCTTCGTGTGAATCCTGACAAAAGGCCTCGATCTCCAAGTCTTTTTGCAGGACCATCGACACTGGCGAAAGGCACTACGTACGTGCGACACCGAGGCACGGCCACGGCACGTCACGGTCAGGTCGTCGCCTGCATATGCTGCCCGATCCAGTGGGACACACTGGTCCTATGGCGTCCGGGTCGACCGGGGCACAGGTTCGCACGAGTCGTGACCGGGCACGGTAGGTGGATGAACAGGGTCTTCGGCACCAATGGTTCGTGCAGAAAAACCATGAAAATGAAGGTGCGGTGCGACCGACCACCTCAAAAGCTCCTGCACTGACCACCAACACACGGGAACTGTTGGTGGAAAGTGCTTCGTTTGACACTCGTCCGACACACGGCTTGTCCTTGTACCGCACTCCTTGTGACTAGAAATGCACTCGATGTGAGTGGGTCACCCTGCCCCACATGCCAACAAAAAGACCTGGAGCTTCGTCCGAGCCTGGGGCTCCAAAGGCTGTCCACATCGCTGGATCTCTCCACGTTCCAAAATCAGGGGATCTAAATGCTTTCCGCTCGCCAAGGGTCTCACAAGGCTTTCCCTACACCCAAGGACTGAACTGGCAGCTGGTCCAAAACCTATCAGGCTTGCCGCTCCGAGCACCTGACCAGCTACTCAGCTACCTCCCAACATTCAGCTTCTGCACCTGACCACTACTTCCCTCCACCCTTTCCCTCCATCCTCCACGCACCGAGACACACCCCTTCGCTCCCCGTTCGCGAACGGCTCCTCCGCGCCCTCGGTGCTTTCACCCCCGGAGGCCGCGGCTTCTTGGTCTCCCTGGTGGCCGTGGGCCCGAGGGACCGAGACCGACCGGTCCGAGAGCTCGATTCCATCCGAGTGGACCGGTCCCAATTGGTGAAGCTTGGTCAAGTCTCATAGGGGCAACACATGTGTGGTGTTTTTGAAATACAATCAGGAGCCGAATCCTTCGCCCTTCCTTTGCAGGGCGAAGTGTTTTTTGGTCAAGACGGACCGAAGACGGACCGATTCTGCTTGGAAGTCCCTCTTCGGTCAGAAAGCACAGGAAGATTGATGGTTTGCTCCTTGTTTTGAGGGCGACTAAAA